AGCGCTAAATAAGAAGAAGACGAATACGTGCGCGTGTAGACTTCGCGACTTGTTTTTTGATTCAAAACGGACGAATTTCTAAATTATGGTCCGAAATGTCTAAACCTTGTCAAACCAGTCAACCAGTTAGTGAACTTAACACCATTGGCTACAACAAGTTCGGCATGAAATTCGTTTCAAATTAAGCTCGCCAAATTACACTCTTCAGGTGTAATTTGATTCTATCTAAGTCAATTAAATTCAGCCGGGAAAACTCGAACTCAAAGTAAAAAAAAAGACGCAGTTATTATTAATCGATTAGTAGTGAAGACAACAGTAGATACCACCAAAATTGAACACTTCATTTAAACATACGCTATTGATGGTCCTGATTGTTTTTGCCACTATATAATGGAATGGTCTGCGAAAAGGGCCTTATTTCTCATTCAAGAAAACCTAGTTAAAAAATAACACAATTTACGTCAAGTTGCCGATCATGTTAATACGGCTGTTCACTCAATTTCAATACAATTTAAAGCCAAAGTAATTTATTCGTTTTCGCATATGTACATATGCATACACCCCAGTAAAATAATTATATGTGCAATATGTTTTTCGTCATTTTCGCTCTATGAAAGAAGGGTAAAACTCTTTATTGTATGCAATTATAATAGCCCTTAGTTTATAAGTATTATCATATGTTAAGTTGATATTCGTTTGTAATTTTTTCTACCGTTATTACAAACAATAACAAAACTTAAACATATATAAGCTATTTTTATAATAAAATCGTTTTATTATTTTCCCATGTAATATTATGGCCGAAAATATCCCTTGGCATTGAACTATGCGAAGAAGAGCCCGAAAATATAACACGAATGAATTTTTGTGGCTTGAAAGGTAGCTAAATAACTGCTGAAGTAATCAGACAGCAGAATATATGCAATGCTTCTTATTCCTTTAAAATTCCCGACGACTATGGAAATAGTAAGCTTGGTGGCCCTATACAAACCCAAAAAGGGTGGTGCAAACGACATAACCAAAGGTTAGCTACTAGAAACAGCATGATTTACTGTAAAACTTGAAATGTATTTGAATTTCTCTGCCACAAGTAAAAGTTCACAATAAATATTAAACACAGTTGTGGTACTTAAGGCGAAGAATTAAATCGCTAAACCACAGCCCACTCTATGGCACGAAAATGCGTTTGTAGCATTTTCCAAAATTACAAAATTTGCAGGAAGAATTGAAGAACGCTGTTTTCATGATGAAAAAACTTCAATATAAATAGATCCAGATGCCCACCATAACTATTGGAGGGTCATTCGGCTACCATGACAAACCTGTCCTTGACGAAAGGGATCTTTGATTGAAGGTAAAAAGCGTATAGATTTGGAAAACATATAAAATCCTTTAAATTTGAGAAAAATGAATACCCAGAAGTAGAAACATTCTTTTCACATTAAGCAGGCAAATTTTTCAAGCATTTCGACCGAAGATATTTGGAAATTCCAGTGGTTAAAAATTGTTATTCATACCGTGCAAACAATCAAATCGAGGTCCATTATTTTAACCGGAAGTCCATTCTAGGGAAACGTTTCTGACAAAAGTTACGTATTTTTGTGCCCAGAATCCGAATCTGTGGTAAAAGCATGTATGTCGCATTTAAAAAAAATGGACTTCCAACACATCGACACGTTGAATATTTGTTCATTTTTGATTTTGATGACGTCTGAAAATAGTAATTAATTTTTTCAAAGAGCAGCAAGATGCAGCAGACAATCTATATATCAAATGAAAGTACATAGATGTAATGCCCTTTTATCAGATATGAAATAGTTTTTCTCTGGCTAAACTAGTTCTGCCTAGATCCAATATATCTGTCCATTGCGGAAATAAGTTGGACGCAACAATATTGTGGACTGCGTACCTGGAGTTGGACGGATGAGGGTTAATTTTTTGAACGCGGAAAGGTGTTCTGCGCAAAAATACTGTGGCCCCTGATCTAATTTAGCCTAGGCAAAACTAGTTTGTCCTGAGATCGGGTTTGATAACATATATATCATATCGGACAGAAAGTCACAATATGAATAAATGCCGCCTGTTAAAAATTTTGAAAGCAAAAACTGAAAATTGTACTTTTGGCCGCAGCAAGTGCTTTTTTCAGCCATAGTGTAATGGTACAATTAAATTAATTTATTATAAACTAATGTATATTTATAAATTTTTTTATTTTCTCTTGATAGAGTTAATGAATATAATTATAGCGAAAAACATTAAAGATGTAGTATAGCTTTTTCATTTAACTGGTTGAAGTGCGGCGCATATAATTATTTCACTGGGTTATATATATGCACAATATAATTAAATTTTCCGTTAGAATAGATCCATGCAGACTTCTGAATAATATGTACATAAATGCATGTACATAAGTACGACTAATTGTACACAAATATTTTCTAGTAGTTTCAACTTGTTTACATTCCTACACTGGCTATCTTGTATTATTGCTTATTTTATTGTAATATCTGCATAACTATGAAATTAATAGTATGTGCGCACATACACATACATACCTATTAATACTCAATAATTATTATATAGAAGTACATAAGTATGCACATAGCCCTGCAGGGAAAAAATTTAACAAATTTCTTGCTCAGAAAGTGAAAGTACAATTTTCGTCACTGTCAGAAAAATCAACATGGGGCACCAACAGAATGTGGCTCTTCGCCTGGATAGTAGAATATCCAATTAGGGCGCTACCTTCGCCCATCTGTTTAATGGATGGAATCTATTTTGTATGAAATTTAACGTGTTTGTAAATATTTCAGGGGCGGGTTGGCTGAAAAAATCCTGGCCAAGATATTTTAAATTAAATAATCAAAAATTATTACTTTTATAAAAAATTATTAAATTATAAAGAACATTTTATTGCGAGCTCGAGGATATAAGGCCTAAATTCCGGTTGGCAAGCTTTTAAATCAAAATACACTGTAAGAAAATCTCAAGTTTTGAAATGACAAAAAATGCCGAGACACGTAAACTGAATTTTGGGTCGTAGATTGCGGCTCTGTGCACAATTTTTCTAGATCACGACATTTTTGCCACGATATTTTTTTATTTTAAGTTTGCGTACGAATGAAAAACATCAAACTTTAACATGGAAAATGTTACTCATTTGTCATGTACGAGTATTACAAGTACGGCCATTTACGATACGGCATATGAGTAACATTATTTCCTGTCCTGCTTTTTTGCAAAGCAATATATTAAAACAAATTTTTCTTGATACAATTTGATGATTTACGTGTCTCGGCGTTTTTTGTTACATTTCAAAACTTGTGATTTTCTTACAATGTATTCTGATTTAAAAGTTCGCCAACCGGAATTTATGCCGAGTTTTTCGCAGAAACTTTGAGTCTTATCATGAATTTTCATTCCGTGTTGACTCATTCACCTACTGTATGTTCACCAAGCAAAGTAGTTCACTTCAAATCATTTTCACCACCCAATCGTATACCCTATTCACCGGTGATATAACTTTCACTCGCACCGATAAAACCACAAAACAATTCACAAATGTAGGAAATACTCGTATGTACGTTCAAAACTGGTTGTTTACTGAAATTTTATTTAATGGCTTTAACGTTATTCCAAATTCGAAATTTCTGTGTAAAATGTCGTTCACCCGAAATCGTTGCACATTCATTGTAAGGTGAGCCATTTCGGTGAACGAAATTTTTCGCCGGTGAAAATTTTCAAGAGAATATACACTTGGGTGAAGGTCGGGCCCTAATGGGATCTAAATGTAAAGTGAATGGAAAAACTCCTCAGTTGAGAGACAATTTACTACTACATAGTTAATGTTTTTAAATTTCTAATTGCACTAGAATCGAATCAGTAGATCAGTCAATTTTCCTACAGGGGGCTTACGACGCTTTGTTTTTCGCCTTAATCTGTGGTGTTTGAGTTTATAATAAATGAGCGCTACCAAGAGCCACACAGTCTACCAAGTTCTGAATGACTCAGCATTGAATGACTTAATCATCGGAGTGTGTTGCGTTATTCAGTAGCTAATGGACGACTATCTATTAAACGCTATTTACGTCATAGAAATTGTATTCATAAATGGTTTAACAAGCTGAGAGGTATGGCGAGCTACGACATTTTAATAGCAAATTAAGACTTGACAGTTTCCATTCGTGCATTACAAAGATTTCCGTTGCTGGGAATCGCTACTTTTTTAGTTGTTCATAAAATCATTCATACGTTAGAAAAGGCGCGAAAATTCAGCAATCTCCTATTTACCGTTAGATTATCTGATTATTTATTGAATGCCTAGCGTGATTGCATTTATCCCAAGGGCTTAAAGTTTTTTTTAGAATTTATGAAAACATCTAAACTGTACAATTAGTCATACATACAAAGCTTACATATTTGAATACAATTGGGGGATACACAAAGTCTCATAAAATTAGAAGTCCGAAGGAAAAATCTTAAAAAATTACACAAGTTGTGAGCAACCCTTTAAAACTACATATCGATGGCTGAATGGAAGATCGACATCATATCTCGGCAGCCAGTTCGAATACGCCCTGTCCCAGAAAATTTTTCAACAACACCCTTCTTCAGAATTTGATTAAAAAATGCCCTATCTCAGCTGCCGATTCAAAAATACCCTATTTTAGCTTATTTTCAATGTACATATTTTCGTTTGAGGTAGGGTGTTTTTCAATCAAATTCTGAAATAGGGCGTTTTTCAATCAAATTCTGATGTAGGGCTTTCTTGAAAAGTTTTCTGAGATAGGGCGTTTTCGAAATGGGTGCCGAGATAGGTCGATCTTCCACTCAGTCATCGATATGTTATGCCGTTAATACGCACCGAAAACACAGAACTCATAGTTGTATATTTTAATTAATTTTTTTTTTTATGCAAGAAAAAAACAATTTTACGATCTTAACATTTTGTGAAACCCCTAAATGTGTACCGAAAAAAATAACATTTATTTCTACCGTAGTTTCGGCATGTTCCACGATACCGCAAAAATCGGATGCCATCCTCGAATCGGCTCAATTGTTCACATAATGACTCCGACTTTTGGGGCGGATACCTTGCAAGTTAGCTGGTCGAATTGCAGTCGGAAATATATTACACAATTTCTCGAGTATGTTCCCAGTTGGAAGATTCTTAACGAACCAATATTGACATTTGTACATTCATTAAAATTTTGTTGTCGCACAGCCAGGGGCTAGGCAATTGTTTAGATAATACACCAACTGCGGTAAAAAAATACGTTTACCCTGCTCTACCTCCCGGAGTACTTTTCGACGCCGAGCGGCAATGCCGGTTGCAGTTCAATCTTACGGACTCCGACCTCGATGCGTCATCGTGTACGTCCATGAATGAAATCTGTTCGGCTTTGTGGTGCAGAGTGAATGGCGAATGCGTAACGAATATGCGGCCGACGGCACCGGGAACCAGTTGTGGTGATGGAAAGGTTAGTTTCTATATAATTCTGTAATACAAAGGAAGCCATATATTGCGATAGTAAAGATTTATTCGACATTTTTGCATATTTTAGTGGTGCCAGAATGGCAAGTGTGTGCCTATTGAGCAAGCTTTGCCCATTAACGGCAATTGGGGCAATTGGTCTCAGTGGAGTGAATGCTCGAGAACTTGCGGTGGAGGCGTGTCTACGCAAAAACGGGAATGCAACAATCCGGTTCCGGCGAATGGGGGTCTCTTTTGCATCGGTGAGAGAAAAAGGTTCGAATCCACCTACATACATATATACAGACAGATGCACATATATAAATTCATTACAACTTTTACCCACACATACAATGGCTTTAGATATAAAATATGCAACTATCAACCATGCCCGGCGGGGGAGGTCAGTTTTCGAGCAAAGCAATGTTCAAAGTATGACAATGTGTGCTATCAGGGTGGAACTTATAAATGGCAACCATTTTTCGATAAAAGTAATTAATTGTAATAAAAAAAAAAATTATCTCTAAATCTTGCCTAGGTATAATTGAAAGCACGATTTGAAATTTGCAGAGAACCCGTGCAAGTTGCAGTGTACTGATGTCGACGATACGATTATAGCAAACTGGGGTGAAATGGTGGCAGATGGGACTCCTTGTCGCGTTGGCACCAATAATATGTGCATCGATGGAATTTGCAAGGTGAGACACGAGACGTATACATACATATATTTATATGCATATACTTGAAATTAATTTGGTAATACCGTGAAACAATGTTGGGATTCACATTTTCGTTGTTGGTGTTTTCCGTCATCCCTTGTCAAATTTGGTTTTTTTTTCGAAAAATGATACTGAAGATGTCACAACGCCGAAACCGGTTTGACGCCAAACCATATTTGACAAGGGATGACGGAAAATCGTTCCACATTACATAAATTTTTGGAAAGTTTTAATGGCATCGACGAAATAATGTCCAATCGTTAGTATCCCTGAGAGGTAGTTAGAACAAAACTCATAAGATATCTCTATGGGTTTTCTTCAAGAAGACAATTTCTTAAGACTTGTGTGAATCGGTAACAAAGTTGTTGAATAATATTTTTTTACTATGGTGAGACAGTTTTGCCAATCTGCTGTGCGAATTGAAATCTTTTTTAACAGCAGTAAATTTTTTTGATCACCGGAGATTTATGCGGAATAAAATATTAAAAATTGAAGTGAAATTAATATTTGATTGCAATTAATCAATCTAGCTTTTATTTAACGAAAAATTACACACATCAACAATCTTTGCGATTGTCAAAATTTTCTATACTTTTGTCAAAAATTTGACTAGCCTCATGAGCTACTGAAAATTTGTTCACCTCATAGTTGTCAAAAATTTACTCGCCGCGAACTTTGTTACCGATTCACATACGCTCTTTTTACATACATATAAAATAGTGGCCAAAGTGAGCCTGTGGAGCAAAGTCCTTTTGAAATTAGACTACCACGGATAAATACTAATGTGTGAACAATATTTCGTCGAGTATCTAAAATGGCGATTGAGCAGTGTAATCAGTTAACTGAACTGCGTTTTAG